CACTCCCGGAGGTGGGGCCAGCCCAGATTTCTCCGCGGGCGCATGTAAAGGGCCCGGCGGGCGCCATGGCGCCCACGGGCACCGGGTTGGGGACCACGGTATTACACAATTCAACCCAAATTTGGCCAACAGTTTCTGGTCCTGAAAAAATGCATTTTTTGATGAAAAGCCATCTGTCAATGTAACAGAGTGCCCTGTCTCTCAAAAGGCTGGAGTGCCTGGGGCTAGTTAACCATGATAACGAATGAGGCATTACTGGGAAAGATCCAGGGTATGTCTTATACTACATTAGTTTCACTGACAAAACTTTGTAAACACAAAGAAATCAACAAAAACAAAGTAACCAAAGCATGTTCACACTTGCTCCTGCTGTTGACAGATCTTGTCCACATTAAAAACTCCATCATTGACAGCATGAAGAATACTTTGTAGGTATGTATCCCACAGTGCTTGGCAACAGCACCTGTCACCAGGTGTTGTGGGAACGCAGAATGGAATGGGTTGCATCTTGGGACTGTGCAAAATGTCTGATCAGGCACCACTTTGTGTCCCAGCGCTTAAGTGGTTTCTGGCTTCCTTTTGCGCCATTTTTCCAACTGCCATTTTTTGCTGTGCACTCCGGCATCTACAGTGAGAAGGTATGGATCCCGCACTTCTCTCATATGCTCTGTTATGAGCTGTGAGGCTATCACACATGGTAGTGCAGATAATCAGGAAGTTACTGACAAGGAAGACTCACAGGCACTCGACATTCTGCATGATATGGACAGCAGCAACTTATTGTTGCTTTTGGCACTCACAGAGCAATTGCACAGGGTAGACTGTCACTTTTGGGGTAGGGAAACCAACACTGATTGGTGGGATCACATCCTCATGCAAATATGAACGAAGAGAAATGGCTACAGAACTTCAGGATGCATAAAGCAACCTTTCTGAAGCTGTGCCCGAAGCTGGTCCTCAAGAACACCCAAATGAGAGCTGCCCTCTTGGTAGGGCAGTGTGTGGGAATTGCTGTGTGGAAGCTGGTGACCCCAGATTGCTACCGGTCAGTTGCAAATCAATCTGTAGTGGGAAAGTCACTCATTGGAGCTACACTACTGCAAGTGTGCAGGGCAATAAGTCACATCCTGCTATAGAGAACCATGACTGAGAAATGTGCATAAAATAGTGGATGGCTTTGCAGAGATGGCCTTTCCTACCTGTGGGGAAGGGGCAACAAATGGTACACATAGTAAAGTTTTAGCACTAGGCCACCTT